TAGGGTCCCACAAATGAGGCCTACCTTTTTATAATTCTATTAATAAATACGTTTCTTCCTCTGTCCACTCTTTCTTTTTCTTCATATTGACTGACTGACCACCTATATGTGATATTACCAGAGTATAAATTATGGTAAAAATAATTAATTCAATAAAGATGAAATACTCACCGAAAACCACTCACTACTACACCAAACTATACCTAACCGTCGCTATTCAAAAATGTTAGGTTATGTTCGAAAGTTCGCAGTGTTTACGTGTCTAGCGTTCGACGCCCGTCCACACCGCGTTCGCTTGTATTGCCCGATTCCTTTGAAGTTACCGCTACCCTTTGGTTTGCGAACGAACGCCAACGAAAGTTCGTTGGCGTTCGCTAAACCATCCTAACCGAGCCAACGAAGACTAGCAAACCCCATTCGTTGGCTTTCGTTGGGCCGGTGTGTACGCGGCTTAACACGCGCTCAAACCCCGGTGAAAGCACGTTGAGGCGCCCCCCGTCCTTCGGAAGGGACGTTAAGTCGTCGGTCCGGCAACCAGTCGTCATTCTCTGGTTGTCGTTAACACCCATGCGCTCTTTAATCCCCCGGTCGGGGCGGCGGTAACTCGTCATTTTCTCGCGAAGTGACTTCGAACTTGTTTCTGAAGAAGGTTGCAACATGACATCCGAAACATCAAACATTTTTTCAAAAAAGACACGGCTTAACCTGAAAGTTTCTAGTTCTAGGTCTAGTGTTAAATATAGTGTTTAATGTTATTCGAAATATTTTGAATAATTAACAAATAGGTATTTCAAAACAAACAAGAACCTTACTTAACTCACAGAAATTATTTGAACTTTAACAGAAGTACTTTCTTCATAATATTCAGCAACTGCAGATGTAGTGGAATGCTCATGTGTTATTGGGTCCATAGGCAATGTTATCTGTGATAAACATTCATCCATATTATTAGGTACTGGGGTTGATGAATTTGACGGTGTACTGATGAAATGAGTGTAATACCTGTGAGGATCATTAAGTTTGTCTTCAAAAATTGCAGTATTTGGAGTCAACTGGTTTAATAAACCGTTACTTAAAATTGTATTCATTCATGTTTCAGCATATATGGCTTGTGTATTTTTTCATTTTATCTAATTTTTTTGCCACCTTTATGCCAACTACTTCATATTCGCTGGTTTCAGTGGTGTTTTTCTCCAAACCACGTTGGCGGGCTTGCAAAAATTGTGTGTTTGATGTTGCCTTTCTTTTTATACGTTTTTTTGTTATAAACATTGGTTTAATTGCAGTTGTACTATTTGACGACTGATTTGCTGTATTATTTTCAGTTTCCTAAAAACGAAGAAGAATGGTTAAAAACGTCAGAAGGCTATGAGAAAACATGGAATTTCATAAATTGTGGAGGAGCTATCGATGGAAAGCACATTGGCATTGTTCAGCCTCCCAGAACAGGAGCACAGTATTTTAATTACAAAAATTTTTATAGAATTGTTCTGATGGCTATTGTAAACGCTGAGTATGAATTTATATATATTAATGTGGGAAAAAATGGAAGGCTCACTGATGGGGGTGTAATAGCTTACACAGAGTTCTATAGAAGATTCCAATCTGATTGTCTACTGTGTCATCTAGATTACTTTTACTCTGAGTTGGCTCTTCTTGGTCTTTTGTGAATAATAATAAATTAAAATACCATAAACTTGGTTTATAAACATTATCTTCGGAAGCGCCGTACCTGCTAACGTATTGTTTGAATTTTCTTAATTACAAAATCTTTATTTGCTTTTGGGCCAACAGAAACCTTGCAATAATCGATTACTTTCTGGTAGGCAGCGTTTTTAAAATTTTTATTTTTATATTCATTACATTTTACTTTCCATAAACAAGGATTATCTCTGTACATTTCTATAAATATTTCTAAGTTCTCTTTATTCCATGACACCTTTAAGTTTTGTGTTCCTTCAAAATATAAATCTTGGCGCGTTCGAATCTAAACTCTTCTGTGAAGTAAACAAGTATAAACGCTGTGCAGGTTCTAACCTGCGTTCCAACGACGTGAGCCGCGAATGCACTGGGCACGTCTAAGATCGGCATGTTTACAAGGGCAGTTTTGGTACACGCGCTATGGATTGTACGCTCCAAAATTGTCGAAAAAACTCTTGGTTTAAAAGACGTTATTGGCAACTAGTAGGCGATATCGTCACCTAGAAATCCTCTCGTACCACCACCTCGAGCCTCCAAGGGAGAATGTACAAGGGGCCCACTGGGACCTAAGTGCGCGCGTAATAATTACGCAGGATACATACATACAAGCTGGACGGTCGGTTTGTTACCCAACCGAAAATTAAGGAGCGACTTTGGTGGTGGACTGTGGTCTACTTTCGGTAGACCGCAAGTGGCGGACATCTTGAAAATATTTTAGATCGAAAGTTCCGAATGAACAACCCATGCTACCAAAATTTCAAACCTCTACGAATAGTGGAACCTGAAAAAGTTCTAACGAACCAGTTACGTAAGACACTCCGTATACTAATAACATTTTATTTAATATCAAATTTAATTGTTCTTCGGTTGATTTCTCTCCTCCTTCTACTTCTTTTTACATTGCTAAACATTGCACGTTTTATAGTTTTTACGGCATTATTGGCTAATCCGTTCGTTATAGCCGTTTCAATTCCATTATTTTTGAAAAATTGTATAAATTGATCTGATCTCAAATTTGTTGTGTTATCTGATACGACTCAATCTGGAAATCCAAATCTAGCAAAAATACACCTTAAAATTTTAGTTGTTGTTTCTGAAGTAATTTGTTACAAAAGCTTCGAACCATTTTGTATGTGAATTGACTAGTACAAAATAATAATAATAATGTATTCTGCCACAAAAAGTAGTTGGTGACAAGTTAATAGACTTAAATACAAACAAAAATAAAATACAGAGACAATTAAATTATAATTGAAGGGGTCGGGAGAAAAAAGTGCCAAGCATCATGTTTGTTGTTTTGAGATATAGCAAGTTGAAAGTTGGACTAAATCCATAAATAACATTTTAGTGCAGACAACAAACCAAAGTTTTTTAATACAAAGGTCATGTATCTATATACCGTTAAAAGTGAAGATGTAGGTAAAAAAACGCTATTATAAGATAAAAATGGTTGTATAGAAAAATATGCGCTGAATAATGTTGCTTGGCATTTTTTTCCCCAAAAATAAAAGACGTTAGGTTTGTTTGTACTTTTATTAAAACACACGCTGTCATCGACAAAAAATACTCTTAACCAAAAAGGTACTTTCCAAATAGGCCTATATTACCACAACATTGACTGTCCAGAGACGGTTTAAGCTTTAGTAACGCAAAATAAGATGAATTTAGTTTTTTACACACGTTGTCTCACCTGTCACACCGTTATCAACAGTCAAGCCTAAGAAGCTTGTTTATTTTTGTAAGGAGAACCCTATAAAACTTTCAACGGAAAGGGAACGATGAACATGAAAGTTAACACAGACCGTTTTTTGAACGTTTGAAATGCTCCTATTTCGAGCACACCAATCGAAACGTTTCATTACATTATTGACTCTATCAGCAAGCTCCTCCGGCTCACGAGCAGCAACAGCGATGGAGGTGTCATCCGCATACATCACTACATGTACATCCTCAAAAAAACACAGCATATCATTTACAAAGGTTAGAAATATTAAGGATCCCAAAATTGAGCCCTGTGGGACACCATGATCAACAGATGACTCCACCGACGCTGTCCCCGAAAGGACTACTCTTAATCTACGAGAGGCAAAGGAAGTTAACCATTCAAGTATACTTTCGCGGATTCCAACACTATATAATTTTCGTTCAATGAAGTGAGGAGGCAAAGAATCAAAAGCGCGAGAAAGGTCGAAGAGACCAACCACGTATCAAGATGCCGAGAAACATAGGAGAAGTAATCGACCGCCGCAGTCTCAGTTGACAATCCTTCACGAAACCCATGCTGGGACTTGCAGAGCACTTCATACGTGATAAAAAGAACAAGCAATCTTTTTTTAATTATTACTTCAAATATTTTCGAAAAGACGCTGCAAACGGAGATGGGCCTGTAGTTCGCAACGCTTTTTGAATCTCCCTTTTTGAAAACAGAAGTCACTCTCGCCACTTTTAATACGTCTGGAAAAGCACCTAGTTCAACAGATCGAGTCAAAATAATTCCTAGCGGCTCACATAAACTATCCTTTACAAATTTAATACATTCGACGGAAACGTCACGCGTCGTCCCAGCCCACACTTCTAACACATCTCAAATCTCGTATAGCACCAGAAACTTCAACAAGTGTAACCGGAGTAAAATACAAAGAGGAGCCTAGACGCCTAGAAAACGTGTTGGATGACCCTTGTTGATCTTTAGATGCGTTTATCAACATATTTAAAGCTCCCTGGTTAGATGCACCTTGGTCACATACGGTAGCAACAGCATCAAGCCCGCAATTTTCCAGTCGCTTTATTACATCTACGATTAATGTAGTGACGGTATTACTATTAACACCCCCACTAGAAAACATGTAAGCGACCGGTTGCTTCCACTTCTTGACTAGTCCCTGTACCATAAAGACCAAAGCTCGATCAGCAACTTTGAATCTCTTTTTATAGCCGAGGTCCGCAAATCCAACAAATACATCTGATTTAGCATTATAACTAATGTTAACATCCAAAGAAACTTCGTCGAACATTAAAATGCACATACGTTCCTCATTTTTGTCTTTGGTGAATTCTTTTAAATTTTCAAAAATTAGTTCATTTAATCCCGGCCGAATGTTAATACGTTGAAGTAGGTTAGTTATGGTTGTCCGAGACGGTAGAGAAAAGAAGTTACTTAACCGCTTAACGCCCGATTTTTTCAGTGTTTTATGATAAAAAAAATACAATTTTTTTTATTCCTGAAATTTGAAGAATATACTTTTTTAAACGCACTAAAATGAATTATAATGACGAAAACGTTTTATTTAATATTTTANAGTACATGGCTACTCGTAGGAATCTCTATTAAAACGTTAAACCGTAAGTTATTTCTTTTTAATTCGTTCAATACTGATCTGTTCATTTAATTTAACTAATTTGGACTCATGGTTTTTTATTTGATATTAATTTAATTTATCTCTTTTAGGTAGAAGAACCACGTTTTGGTCTCCGATACTAATGATTCTACAGTTGTACTTCTGATCTCCCTAACTTCGTATTCTGGACTTTATTTTTTAATGTATTCTAATTATTTAAGTTAGATCTTAATACTGGTAGGTAGATATTACTACAGTATATTGTATTGACAAATATAAAAAATCAAACTTATTTTAATTACTACTATAACAATATAATTAAATACATATGTATGTATGTATGTAAGCGTGGAGTGCGTAATTTTTACGCTCGCACTTAGGCCCCATCGGGCCCCTTGTGCATTCTCCCTTGGAGGCTTGAGGTGGAATGAGAAGGTATCTCGTTAGGTGACGATACCGCTTACTCGTTGCCAATGACGAGTTACCGCCGCCCCAACCCCCCGGACCCACACTTCATCTCGGCCGCAGCCTGGCGGAGCGCACGGCTAGCTCAACGACCTGGCGGAGCGCACGGCTAGCTCAACGTTCTGGCGGAGGAGCGCACGGCTCACTCAACGACCTGGCGGAGCGCACGGCTAGCTCAACGTCTTGGCGGAGCGCACGACTTGCTCAACGGCCTGGCGCAGGTCCGATCAGCGTGGGCGTGGGGTCAGAGAGCGCTCACGCGCATTCGTCCCTAAAAAGTCAAGCCTCACACACATGCGTGCTGCTAACGACAACCAGAGATTGACGACTGGTTGCCGGGACCGACGGCTTAACGTCCCCTCCGAAGGACGGGGGGCGACTCAACGTGCTTTCACCGGGGTTTGAACCCGGGACGTCTGCGTGTTAACCCGAGAGCTAACACGCTGAGCCATCACGCCCCCTAATTAAATACATATTTTCTAATAATTTTTTTCCGTGTGATATACTTTGAAACAAGGAGCAGGACAAAGAGCAACGTCGCACTCGTTACAACAATATTTTGTTTCCTTTCTTAATTTTTTTCCCATCTTATCTTTTTTTGTGGAACATAACACACATCGTTTATATGGAATATTATAACTTTTTGTAGGGGGGCTGAAGTCAGGAAAATGTCTTTCCTTCAATCTTAGTGGCCCAGGTTTCTTTGGACGTCCTGCCTTTTTAGTACATTCACTTGAATGATATTTTTGAATAATTTGTTCCACTAATTGTAATCTAAATTGTAAATTATCAATTGCCCCACCATTTTTTTTATATAAAATAAATGAGTTGAATACTGTTAAATCTAGTAAATGCATAAAAATTTTTTTATAAAATTTTTTCCCTCTTTTTCTAGTAATCGCGTAATCGTGCAAGTGTTGATCCAAACGATCGATACCACCCATGGTATTATTATAATCAACTACCAATTTCGGTTTTTTTATAAACTTACCCTCTTTGTCTTTTTTATTAGTCTCTGCCATTTCTGGGTTATGCACTGTTGACAGTAAATGAATAATTTTTTTATCATGCCATTTCATGACCATTTCTTTAAGTCGTCTGTAAGCTATAGTTTCTCCTTTTTTAATTTTTTTCTTTGTAATTTCAGGCGGCATATCCTTCCTATTTGAACGTAAAGTACCATACAAATCAGTTTGTTTAGTAACGAGAAAATCTGCTAGCTGTGGCGATGTGTATCTAATAAAGTATCTGCTAAAGATAAAATGACCTGTGACGTAATGGGCATGTCTTTATATTTGTCATCTATTATAGTACCCTTCCCTGTATAAATTATAAAAGAATATAAATAGCCTGTTTTAGATTCACACAGCATGTACATCTTAATCCCAAAACGTGATCGTTTCAAAGGTAAATATTGAATCCATCCCAGTCGTCCTTTATACAATAGCAGGCTGTCATCGACACTTATCTCTCTTTCTGGGATATAGAATTTTGAAAATTTTTTATTCAAATCATTATAGACTGGCCATATTTTATTCAATTTAGGATTTGGGTGTATCTTTGGATGGTAAGTTTCATTGTTGCTAAAATGTAGATTCTTTTTTATGTAAAAATATCGTCGGCTGCTCAAAAGTTTCGGAAATATAGGGGTTAACAGAATTTCCTTAGTTGACCAAAACATTCTTTCATCAGGTTTTTTCAGTATTCCTTGCAAAATATTTATACATAAAAAAATTTGCATTTCATCTACTGTAATCGGTGATAAAACATCAGATGATTTTCCTGGATGCTGTTCCGCGTAACAATTAGATTCGCTTACTAATAAATTTATCAATTCAGTATCAAAAAATAACTCAAAATAATTTAAAACTTCAAAATTATCTGCGTTGAAAGTACAACCTGGCACACCCAGAAATTGGAAACGTGATGGTGCAGGATCTTCTGTAGTTATCACTTCCCAGGTATTCATGTGATCACTATCGTCGTCACTATAATCATCACTAACTTCACTTTCTTCAGAGTCTGTATCACTTTGATCACTTACGCTTTCCGATAAGTCAGCGTACTCATAATCAAAATGCTCAGAATCGCTCATTTTCAATGGTTACACTAAAAATATAAAAATTATCCTAAATAAAAAAATATATAAATAATAAGAAATATGAAAAATGAGAAATAAAAAAATCACTTACCAGTGAATCGGCTTTGAATAATAATATATTATTTTTTATTTTATTTTTATCGTATTTTGTTTTCCTTATTCTTTTATGTTTAGTTATAAGATATTTTTTTTTATTTTTGATTTTGTTGAAGATATTTTGCTCAATAAACTTGTATTATTATATGTTGCAAAAATTATTAAGCATTTTATAAATATTACTTAATAAAATATTTAAATGTTAAATATAACTTTTATAAACGTAAATGAACATAATCTAGACTATAAGTCTGTTCGCAATCAATGTTCATATGTTAATAAGTGAATCAAGTCCTATCACGTCGCTAAATCATTTTGCAGGTATAAAGACGATATGCGCGTCCTATCACGTCACTGAGCATTTCTGCAAGTGAACAATGCGCGTCTAATCACGTCGTTGAGCGTTAAGCGGTTAACGGTTAAACGGTAGCTTCTACCTGACTGCTTATATAAAGATAGGACAAAGACTTTATCCTGCACAGAATATCGTCGTCCTTGTTTCTTGTACTTTGACAAGTGTAACTGGCTTGCACAGAAATTGAAGCAGACAGCATTTACGTTGTTATACCCACAAAGTGGGTTATTTAAAAACATACGTTCAGCTTTACGCAAACGTTGTTTTAAAGTTAAGTTTCGTTTATGCACAGCTTTACTTTTCCTTTTCAACCTTCTCACAATCGGTGTAATAATTGTATTATTCCCACATTCTGCGTAAGGTACTTTGCCGCAATAAGCTATGTACAAGTAAGATGGAATACATTAGCAGATAAAAAACATGCTCGTTTTATAATTAAAACATAAATATAAACATAATTTTATGTTTTCTTAAACATAAATTTGCATAATAATTAAAAAAATTAATTTATTTATTTAATTTTTTTATATTATTTATTTTTTTATTTAAATATTTTTATGTTTTAAGTTTGATATGTTCGTTGTTTTATGTTAATTTTTGAAAAGAAAAAAATTTTAACCGTAAGTATTTTTTATAAATTAGATATAGTTTTTACGTTTTAAGTACATTAGTTAAATAAAAAAAAATCTGCCAATTATATAGATTCGGTTGATGAGGACCAAAAGTAAGGGGTTGAAACCGGTACCGAGGAATATTAAAAAAAAAAATGAAGGAAGTTTATTAAAGCGTTTTTTATTATTAAGTTTACAATTGGGGACTGATAAAGCTGTAACAAAAAATTAAATCAGTTCAGGCGAACATGGCGCTCGCTTGGCAGCCTTTTTGGAAAGCCTATCAGCGTGCTTGTTACCTGAACAAGTCGAGTGTCCTTTTATCCATTGAAGTATAACACAGTTATGCACTGCAGCCTTCTCCAATGTCAGATGATAACCCATAACAAGTCCTGAAGTAATTGTTATTCTACTCAGGGCCAAAATAGCTTGTCTACTGTCAGTATAAATTGTAAAAGTCTTACCTACCAAGTGGGATCTGACAATAACGTCAGCGGCAAGTTGTATGGCGATTAATTCCGCCTGTATGACGGTGGTACTTTTACCTAGAGGTTCAGACACGTGGAGTCGGAGATCATACGAGAAGACTCCGGCTCCAGCTCCTTCCCGTCTCTTTGAACCATCAGTATAGATTTTAAGGCTGTTTTTTACCTCTACTTCTGTGGAACTTGGGTGGGTGAGATATTTCTTCGTAAAAATGTGTTGTAGGGGTGTAATGTCCGTTACACAATCCAGAATTGGTGAGTATTCCACCATTTCGTTCCAGAGATTGGCATTTTTACTGTTTCTCTCACCCATTAGAAGTCCTGCTGCTCGCAGTCGAATCATGGTCACCAATGCCACCTCTTGGATGAACAAATGAAGGTTTAACATGTTTTCCATGGCTGCAGTGGGGGTAGTCCGCAGCGCACCTGTAACATACAAACACGCAAGTCTCTGTACTTTAATAAAGTGCAGCAGTAGATGTAGACAATGTAGGGTCTTTGACCACCATACTACTGCACCATATGTAAGCATAGGTCGCATTACAGCCGTGTAAATCCAGAGGGAAAATTATAATAAAATTTATTTAAATTTTATTATAAATTTTTGTATAGTTACAAGCGCTTTGATTGTGTAGGTAATGCAGATTGCTGCAAATTCAGTCTATAACGTCATCCAGTGGATTGTGAGGATACTAAACCTCGGTCCACATTTTTATAGTAGTAAGATTGCACACGTTGATCCATTCCATTACAAGCATTCAACAAGACAACACGTCTATCTTTGTATTTTAATTCTAAAGAGTAAATTATATAAACCACTACTCTTTATTGGTGACCCCGTTGAATTGAACCTGCACCCGATAATAAATTTGAGCCTGTGTCCAACCCTTTAACCCAGACACTTCCAACCACATCGCTCCAGCCACTCTGCACTAGCAAGAAGAACAGTTAACTTCACCTCCCAGACCTAAGCTCCAACCAAGTTGCTCCAACCCCTTCGCTGCTACAGCTACGTTAAGAAAGTGCCTTGCAGCCCCTACTTGCGACCCGTTGTATAAATTTTCTTTGGATTCGTGGAGGACGGTTTTGTGTAAGGCTCTAGTTATTCTGTCTTAATCAAGAAATTTTAAACGAAAAAGCAGCAAATTGCATTTTATATTCTTTATCATTTGTCATATTTGACATCTGATAATTTTATTTTCATTTTTAACCTTTAAGAAGTCGCGTCCTCCGAATGACGTTAGTGCTCGCGTGGCGCCAAGTGTCTCCAAAGGTGTATATTGGTTAGTTAGAGTTTATTTATATTGACAAAAATTAATGAAAGTTATTTTTAAATATTTATTATCAACTAAACATAACTACATTCCTAAAATTAAAAAAAAAAACATTAAAAAAAAATAAAAAATATGAATCATTGACACTGTGGACAAAGCATTATTCATAGCATTCGGCACACTGAGTTCTTTGATGCTCTTGGCAGACATGTTTATTGCAAATTATGCAACTTACTCTGCTTGATATGTTTCTTGATCTGGGGCAGATGTAACATCTCTTTTTGGTTTTTGGGCCTCCTGTTGTAGGTGGCTCGACGACAGTTTCTTCATCGAAGTAGCTATGCAATCTCTTTCTAATATTTCGTGGAATGTGTGAATCATTCATCCGTTCTATTTGGTACGGTTCTACCAGTTCTCGACCTAACTTCTTCAGAAAATTTCTTCTGTTCAAGGGGTTGCCATTATTTGTAGAGTTATATATAACAAGAGCATTTATGGCACAAACATTAATTAGATGGAAAAAAACTACCGTAGGCCATCTTCTGGTCCTTCGCCCAACATTATACGTGGAACAAAGTTTATCGTTGGTGTCCACACCACCCTTCGTCATATTATAAAATGTTAATACCTCAGGCTTCAGTGCATTTTCTGACTCTTTATCGATGGCGGCGTCTTTGTGTAAAGTTGAAAGTAGTATAACAGATTTTCCTTTTTTTGGGACATACGACATCATTGTTGTAGTTGTAGTAAAGCCGAATAAGGTGCTCTTCACAGCACGCGTTCTGTTTGGTTGAAATTCCACCGGTATTTCCCTCTTGTTTTTTCTGACTGTTCCGACTAAGGTCACTTTATGATTTTTTAATAAATTATCGACTAGGGGAATGCTGGTAAACCAATTATCTACGGTGATATTTCTTCCCGATTTGCTTATAGGAGAAATTAGTCTGATAACAACATCGCCTGGCGAATTACTTACTTTGAACGGCCCTTCTGGTTGCGTTCCTAGGTACACCTCCATTTTTAAATTATAAAAATTTTTGGCATCAACCAAAGCAAATATTTTTATACCATATTTGTTTGGTTTGGAAGGCATGTACTGGCGGAAATTGCAATGCCCACGAAAAGCTACCAGTTGTTCATCAACTGTGAGATACTCACTCGGAGTAAAAAGTTGACCACATTTATTTACTATATAATCAAAAAGTACGCGGATAGCTGCTAGTTTGTCAGTTTCTTGTCTTTCAGCTCGTGTTGCTTTTTCGTCAAATCTGACACAACGCAGTATAAACAGGAATCTCTGCTTACTCATAGTTGTATAAAAAAATTCGTTCCCCATATCATCTGCCGAAAATAAGTCGTCAAAAATTCAAACCTCATAACTCCGCCAGCTATCAAAAGACCCAAAAACGCCTTTATTTCGTTTTTAGTAACTAAACGATCATCTCTTGTTCGTGAAAATTTGTCCTTTACTACGTCTATGATGTATTTGTTTGTATTTTCTACAAGCAAATCAAGAACAAATTCATCAAAAAACAAAATGAAAGATTCCGCAGGAGTTGTAACATTTTTCGCAGGCCCTTTACAACCGGGTAAATGAGTTATTATATTGTATTTTTGGGTTTTGGTTTTGGGAGGTGGTACCTTATACCATTTTGTCGTTTTGTCTTTGCCACAATAGTAATTCCCATGTGTTGGTGACGAAGCAACATCTTCTTCAGAATTATCACTTTCTTGAGTGTCAGTATCATGTTCACTATATTCAACATGGTCTTCTACCGCACTTACTTCACTTTCTGAATTTACTTTCATACAAGTGTCACTATCAGATTCACTATCCAAGATGTATTTTTCCACTTCTTTTTGAGAAAGGGGACGGTTTCTTTCCCAATTAGAACGTGCTTTTGCTCTTAATTTTGCACTCGACTAAGTCATTTTTATAAAATCAATCATTATGGTAATAAACAACTGAGAAATACGAGTAGATGTGAGGTTAGGTTTTACCCAATTGTGAGAAATTTTGCCTACGTCACTACTCGCGTGGCGACAAATGGCATCCAAGCGGCGCGCGGTCCCACTAAATTAACTCTGGTTTCAAAATTTATTATAAAGCAAAAATGTTAGCCCGATTTTATGTATCTCAAATCTATACTAAAAGAATAATTTCAAACTAGAA